GGCGGCAACGACGTCGTGGTGGGCGAGGTAGAAGTGGAGGAGCGAGTTCTGGATGAAGAGGTCCAAGTAGTGGCCCGATTTGACGAGGTGCGCGTGGATTTCGAGCGCTTTGGAGCGCGTATGGTGGGAGGAGCAGGTTTTGAGGGCGTGGGTGAAGGTGTAATGGTTGTGGGAGAAAGGGTGGGAGAGCATTTGGTTGTAGAGTTCAAAGAACGCATCTCGTGAGTTTGCGAGGATCGATAGTAAGGGGTTCAACAATTGGGGGTTAGGGTTGTTGATGAGTTGTTGCTGCGCGCGAATTGCTATTTGATTCAGATTCTGAGCCTTCATAGGTTGTGAAAACGGGTTGACCCGGTTACTGTCACAAATTTATCCAATTCGGTTACGGGTATGTACTATTTAGTATATATAACATAACCTAGGTAGATAGATAGTGTGTGGTAACACTGGTGATCGTTCGGTTGTTCAAGTTCTCAACTCAAAAGGTGCATGGTTTTCTTTTCAATATTGGGATTGTGAAATTCTATGGCTCGGTGGAGTTTTGATAGGTTATGGAAGTTGTAATTTAATCTTTGGGTTAACAAATTTAGGGGCTTTTAAGCTATTATGCAAGTGTCAAAGGAGGGTTTGTGTATATGCGTACCAGATGTTTGAGGAAAGGGCTAACAAATGGAGAGAAAAAAACTTTTTTTTTTTGTTTTTAAATTTTGTTTTTGTTTTTATTTTCTGGTATTTGTTCTCATTTTGTTTTGTTAATTCCTTGTGTCAGGGGTTTGGTTCAGAAACTTGTGGCAGGGCAAGTGAGCAATAAAGCATGGGGAAAGCTTCGAGGGATAAGAGGGTGTGGTTGATTTGTCATACAGTGTTATTTTTTTTTTTTAGGGTGTTGCATTGATGCTTTAGCGAAATTGGTTTTCAGGATATCTATTACCGGAAAGCTAAAGAGGAAGGTTGGCGTGCTCGAAGTGCCTTTAAACTCCTTCAGATAGATGAAGAATTCAACATTTTTGAAGGTGGGTGCCTGCCTTGCCCATCAAAGCCTGTTTTTGACTGTTTGGCTTTGTTGAATTTTCATAGCAGAGATGGGTCATAGGTTGCCCTCTGTCTTGAATATTTAAATAGAAATAGCGTCAGCAAATAACCCTTACTCTCAGCTTCGAGATTAATTTTTAATTTTTGCAGGAGTGAAGCGTGTTGTAGATTTATGTGCTGCCCCAGGTAGCTGGAGTCAGGTACCAGTGATGAAATTATCAATGCCATGGCATAGGAACTCTCAACAAACAGACATTTAACAGCGTTTTCCATATTTTACTCTATAGTTAGTATGCTTTAGCTTCTCAAACTTGAGAAACAATTCATGATTTGCTGTTTTGCTGAAAAAAATAGTTTTGTGAAGTATGAGAACCGAGTTCCATCTCGCACATGGACGAGAGTTGTTGATGCTAGAATAGTGAAGCAGGATATATAAGTTATTACCATGCATTCACAGGAGGGAAAAAGAAAAGTCAAGATCATGCATTCACTGGCCTTGTTTGTCATACGTGCATAATAATTGATTTTTATATGCAGGTTTTGAGTCGTAAATTGTATCTCCCAGCCAAGCTTGCACCTGATGCTAAGTAAGTTGGCTTTCCTTGAAAATTCTATACTTTGTTAAGGATTTCCTTGATGTTGAGGTTCGCCCGTTTGCGTACGTAAGTTCTTGCCAAGATTTAGGATTGAAATTAAGCTCTATCAAACTTATGTTTACTTTATTTGTTAGTCATTATGTAATTATGTAACATGTACAATTGATAACTGTATTATTATTGTTGTTATAATAATATAATTAGGAAAAAAGAAGCATTTCATGCTTCTCTATATTTTTTAGAAAATAAAATAAAAAAGAGAAATAATAGAGTGGGTGGTTAATTGTTGACTGCAATTTATGGAAATAGAGAACCGAAACTAAATAATAAAAAAGAATAGTAAGAGAGAAAGAGTGGTTTGGAAGTAGTTATATAGATAAGATAGTAAAAAAAAATGTGTACACAAAAAATGAATATTCTCTTATTATATGAATAGATGAATAGATTAAACATTTGGCTTCTTTTTGATCTAAAATCTATGGTCTTTTTAAGGGAGTTTCCCTTACAGATACGTTGATGCATTGATGGATTGCATAGCTCTCCTTCATTGATTGCTTTTTTTTCTTCTTTGCTGTTTGTGTTTTCCTTTTTACGTTGAGGAAGATTCTCTATCCTCCAAACTCCTTGTTATTATTTTTCTTTTCATCTTAAAATTTTCTTATTTTATAAAAAAGTGTCTTCAATTTCTTGCTGCATCATGATATGCAGGGATGAAAATCTTCCTCTTATTGTAGCTATTGATTTGCAACCAATGGCTCCAATTGAAGGTGTCATCCAGGTGCAGGGTGATATAACTAATGCTCGGACAGCTGAAGTGGTACACAAGCAATATTACTTTAATTTTTTTTTTTTCATAGATGTCTTTATTTTATTTGGAAGACGAGTTGAATAAGCTGCATGTCTCGGTAGAAATATAAAATATATGTGAATCTCTTGCTTATCTAAACTTCACTCCTCAAATTTCATCAAGAGATTGTATCTTTTCCTTTTTAAACTTTCTACTTCTAAATTTTATGTGAATAATGAAAGCAAGGTATTGGAAAGATAATGTTAATTAGCAATTTAGTTTTGGTTCCCTATTGAAACGTGTGTATGAATTATGAGTTTCATTTAGTATGTTTGTTTCCCGATCTTTTGAATTTCAACTGTGTGGCTTTCTTTTGATATGCTACTTCTTTCAAATTTTTTTTAGCTAGTTGCTTTTGGTACATGTAACATGTTTTAGGGAGAGAGAATGGTGGAAATAATGAGAAGACATAGTGTGATAATATGGACAGTTAAGCACAGTATTACGAAATAAATTTAATTTGTATGTATGGATTCGACATGGCCAAGTACGTTTCTTGATGTTCATAATCCTTTTCTGCTAGAGTCTATGATTTGTTGAAACTTGAATGGATTATATAGAACTTGTTTATTGGAGGTTGCTTTTTCCCGTAAATTAAATTGTCTTGAATGACTGTTGTGATTAAGTTTATGAATCCCTCTTTTCTGTCTTAATTTATTCAGGTCATTAGACATTTTGATGGTTGCAAGGCTGACCTGGTTGTGTGTGATGGTGCTCCTGATGGTAAAGAAAATGCTCAGTTTAACTTAATTATCCCTTCATACTCAATATTTATGTTTAGAGAAGCACAATTTCACACAAAAAGCTATTTTTATGAAAAGCTATATACGATGTAATACATAGAAAAACTTCTTATTTTGTATGTAGTTTAAGAAAGCATGTTTCGTATTTTGCAGTTACTGGGCTTCATGACATGGATGAGTTTGTACAATCCCAACTCATACTTGCAGTAAGTACTTAATTTCCGTCCTTTTCTTCTTGTTGTTTCCGCTTGTTATCTATCATTATTCAAAATTGGGGATGTAAAAAAGAAATTTGAAGGGAATAAAATCAGGGATCACTCCTTTGATGCAAGAGTTTATTAATTTTTGTGAATCCTTTTTACCCTCTTTCGATGTAAGAGTATATTGGTTTCTGCTTCTTATTTTTGATCAATCTACTCTTGTTTCTATTAAACACAAACTACTGCAGTAATTTTAGTGATTGTCCCTCATCTTATATCAATGGTTGTCAATCTCGAGCGATAACTTGTAATAATTAACAAGTTTATGAGATTGGTCAGTCCCACCTGTGCAACTCGAAGTAATTTGAGCAATCTTGTTCAATCTTGAGCAATTTCGTCCCCTCTATTGCTAAAAGCAAAAATTAGTCTTAGTTTTTTATTTGTTATTTTAAGAATTTGGGTCATGTATAAAATTTTGCATGATTTGCTAGTAAACATTGCTACTTTAATATTGTAATTTGTTATTTTACTTTAATATGGAGTTTAAATGTTGAGTTATTATGTTATTTATAATATTATAATATATTTTTTTATATTAAGTAAACTCTTAAGAGTTTATGATTTAAATTTATAGGATTTCAACGAGATTACATAAACTCTCGAGATTGACAACCTTACTTATATCAAATGGGTTACTCCTTGATTTGCAATGAGTGTCATGGTTTTGTTTGGCTATCTTGGGTTTTTGCCGAATGCTAACTAGTTTCCTTGCAGGGGTTGACAATTGTCACTCATGTACTTAAGGAAGGAGGGAAGTTTATTGCAAAGATATTTAGAGGAAAGGACACAAGCCTTCTATATTGTCAGGTATTTGAACTTCCCCCTTGTGAATAAGATTTTTTAGAAAGTGAAGACTTTGAGCATGTGCATAATTCGACATTAGTGTATGTTTTGCATTCATGTCTTGCAGTCGTCCAATTTTCAGTTAGCTTTCGTAAAATATATAGAAAAGTGACAATACTATCTTCGCTCGGAATGATTAAGAATGAAGGAACATTGCAAACCTGTGAAAGCTATGGAAGTAATCCTTACCACAGAGATTTCCGACTTTGGTAGTTAGCTCATCATAAAATGTGTAAACTTTTTTGTGCAAAAGGAATGACAAAACTCTCTACAATGAGTTACACCAAAATTCTAAAGGGAAATGATGAGCCAATTGGATGCTAAGTTTTTACAAAATTTTTGTACTTTGAATGAAAAGGAACACCATTAAGTTACTTTATTGATAAACAAAAGAAGTACACTCAAGTAAAGATAAATTTTATGAACCGATTCCATCACTATGAGTAAGCTTTTTATCCGGTTGGGATTTAGAATCTACTCATGACCGAATCTAAAATTTTAGTTGTAGTTGTGAAATTGTTGTGCAGTTCTACTTTCTGCCAAATTCTCATAATGTAATAATTGGCAAGTAGTAAAGGAAAATAATTGTCTCTGGAAGCGCCCTGGTCTTCTCTTATTACTTAGTTTTTGCGATTTTCTTTTTTCTGTGATCCTAGAATCATCATTACACACCATGTCACCACCTTTTTGTTTGCAGCTAAAATTATTTTTCCCTGTGGTGACGTTTGCAAAACCAAAAAGCAGCCGAAATTCCAGCATAGGTAAGGATTTATTTTTCCCACTACTTTCTTTCTATTTTTGGATATGCATACGTTTCAGCACTTTATAGTTTTGTTATGATTATGTAAGGGGATTTATCATTGCTTAGGAATTTGCAGTCATGACATTAATTAGGAGTTGGCACTCTTGACATTAGTTAGACTTGAGAGAAGCTTATCTATCCTCTCACAAATGTATATGAAGTTTGAACTTCAAATATACCACTTGTTGAAACACCTTTCAATTATAGGTGTCTAAGCTAGTTTTGATCTCTCTAACTATGCCATTGCCAAGGATGTAGTTTAAAATCATAGAAAGGTGGATTATGGTATTTGTGCTAATTCTAAGTGTTTCACCCTTCCAGAGGCCTTTGCAGTTTGTGAAAACTATTCCCCTCCTGAAGGATTCAATCCGAAAGATCTTCATCGCCTTCTTGAGAAGGTTGGAAGTCCCTCAGGAGTAGATGATACAGGTATATGTTTGTCCTTATAGTAAAACTTATATGCAATTATAGACTAGAAATTAGAGAATTCAGCTTCATAAAGTTACTCATGAATACTGTATGCTTAATCATCGTAGCCCTGGTCCCTGATAAATATTTTTGCTGATTTCATTGTATCATCACGTGTACTTATTTCTCATGGCTTTGGTCTCGAGTAATTAATGCGTATGGGTTTGCAGATTGTTGTAGTGGTTGGTTGGAAGGCCCTAATAAGGTGTATATCCCATTTCTTGCTTGTGGTGACCTCAGTGGGTATGATTCTGATCGCTCATATCCACTACCTAAAGTTGCTGGGGGAACATATCAGAGTTTGGATCCCGTGCAGCCCCCTATTGCCCCACCTTACAAGAGAGCTCTGGAGTTAAAAAAGGCTGCCAGTCAAGGATTCCGAGAACTTGAAAACCTCTCATTGGATTCTTGATCGTTGTTTATTCATAATGTCATTTGGAACTTTTGTTTTTTCTTATGATATGATTTGTGTTTTGATAATTATTAGCGTACGTGCGAACTTTAACACTTTCTTTTCTTTTGTACCATCATTGCTGCCTGGCGAGTCTTTTGTTGTCACAATATTTGAAATGAATACAAATTATTTTATAGATAACCATCCAAACATGTAAAACTGTTTCGCTGGATGATGTTGATCAGTTGATGGTGTTTGACTGTGGCTTCATATCAGTATATTTCAACAAAAGACAAGGTGAATATGGTGGCAGTGGGAAACAATTGTTGGGTCATTTCTTTTATGGTCTTTTTCACGGGTTAACCATTGCACCTGACCTGATCCATATCTGTCGAAGGGAGCAATCAAACTTTGCATGCTCTTGGGGTATTGTTACATTTTAAATTTATCCATCGGTTGATATTTAACAAGTCGTAATTTGTAATTTGGTTATCCAAGTTCATATTTAACTACAATGATCAGTACGACTTCTAAATTGTGATGCATAGTTATTACTAATTAGATGGATTCCTTGCAAAATTTGGGGTGAATTTCTAGTGCTCTGGCCAAAGGATTGTTGAAAGTTGATAGTTAGCGATAGTCACTGATTTTTCAGCCTTTGGTTGAGTCAGGTTGACAGTTGCTTTCTGAGTGTGGGAGAACTGATGAAAGTGGAAACTCCTGTCCCTGACTTTGCTTAAGCGTGGATCAACCCCTACTGCTGAACTACATGCTTGGGGTTGGGGTCTAGCGTAATTGATAAAGAGATTGTATTAAAATTATTTATGCATTTTTTTTACAAATGAGAGAATAAAAGAGAGAAATAATATTTTTTTATTATATAAAAAGATAATGTAAATAACGTGGTGGGCATAAATAGAGAATTACAATAAATATCAATCTATATCCTGAGTGTTTAAATTCATCTCAAGCCCACAACCCATTCTAAATTGTCAGTGGTATAATTTATAATCGCAATTCATTCTCAACAATTATTTCATTTAGATGCATGGTTTGACTTTTATTAAATAATTATTATCATTTTTCTGAATATAAATGTTCAAAACATGTACTAAAAATATTTTAGTACAAATAATTTGAAGTTTAACAGTCAATTACATCTGTCTTGAATTGGTCCTTTTTACAGAAAATAATATATAATCAAGTTGATCCGCAGTGCCATAAAAGAAATTAAATGTTGCATAATTCGAATGTTATATGGAGAAGCTCGTCCTTTTTTAATTTTTGTAAGAAACAAGAAAGTAAAATTTATTTGTGTATGGACAAAAAAAAAAGAGAAAGAGACGATTGGAACCAAATGAGAACTAATAACATTAATATGTTCCAAACTTTCATTAAACAGAAAAGACTAGAGTCTGGAATTCAAACTGATTTGAACCAATGTTTTATACTAATGTCTCTACTCAAACTCCATTATATTGCCAAAGAGACAAAAGGACTGACCTCTATTTTTGTACTGATGAACATGACAATTGAAATCAAGAAGTCACATCCTTTTTTAATATACATACATGATACATCTCTTGCATGCTGCAAACTTGAAAAGACTTTCTCAACCAAGATTTGCATAGAGACTCAACAGGGTCTCTCCCTAGAGGAAGAGGAATGTAAGAACTCAATGCAATCTTCTACAGCCTTAGCACGATATGATGAATCATTAGGATCTGAGAATGAACGTGACCTTACCAAAGTGGATGAAGAAACCTTCCTGGAGGATCTCCTTCCCATAGAAACAACTCTAATGGAACTTGCTACCTTTGCTCCAAGCCGTAGTAGGAATCTTACAGGTGACAATAAAGGATCTTTGGGGAATCTTGAAAAACTCCAATTTCCAATGACCCTCTTCCTGTTTCCTAATACACCATGTTTGAGAAACATGGTTGGTTTCTCATTGACATCAGGACTGAAGCTTACTCTCTTGCTTTTTCTCAACATTTCAAGAACAATGAGTCTTCCAATTGCACAAAAAGCCAATTATTTCTATTTTTCTTTATGTCTGAGTGGGAGTAGCTGCTATAGGGGACAGTTTGCAAAGGTTGGCAAATAAATATATATAGACACTATTTTGAGGAAACATGCTAGCTATAGAAAAATAGAAAGAAAGGTATAGTAATTAGTAAGTTTGAAGTTAAATCCTTAAGAGGGTGAATGTTTGAAGAACATTTAAAGACATGTAGGTGCAAGAGAACAAACAAGGCTCAAATACGTGCATGAGACATGCACACATGGGCATGTTGCATGTGGAATCCAAATTTACCACTAATGTAGGAGACCTACCATTGTCAAGCTAATTGAGAGGCAAAGACTGAAGTGTGAACAGCAGCAATATTTGGATAGAATTTCTCAGAGAAAAGGGGTTTTGGTCAAAAGACAAAGTGGTGGAGCCATGAAGACTCAAGAGGGAGACAAGAATGAAAATGTTAAGGTTAATATAAAGAGGTAACAAAGAGAGAGAAAGAGGAGGGAAATGATGGATACTCTTCTAATCAGTGTTGCTTTTGAGCTGGTGTTGAAGGGCCTACACCTGCTTTTTCTGCCTGTTTGTCTTCGGTTATGTTTCTAAAATCTGAAGTTTAGATCCATATGTTGTGCAATGGGAGAAAGTGAGAGTGGGAGGGAATATGTTTGAATATGGGGCTGGCGTGAAAATTGGGGAATTGCATAACCTTCTTTTTCTTGGGGCCTTTTTCCATGCTACTGTCAGGAAATTCTTAGAGAGAGATATGTGCCTCCATTATGAGCTCACTACAGTTTTATTTCTTAGGTCACAACTCATACTTTATGACTAGTTGGATGCATTCATTCTGTCAGAACATTTTTTGGTTGTACTGTCTTACATACATGTCATAAAAATTAAACAACATGAATTTACTAGAAATGTTGAGGAATTATAATAAATTTAACTATAAGAGATGGCTTTTGTAAGGAAAATTGGTATGTTTTAAAATTTTAATACGCTTGTAATAATTTCTAACGGAATTTGAAGATGCATGTAAGTCACCATTGAGCGTCATTATTCTTTATGACATTGATAGGTATGACTAGTGATAGTTCTTTTCTAGTTTTCTCATTTCTTCGCCAAACATATAACATCCTTTGTTAATTTCTTTATACATTGAAGCAGATTGTTGGATTATGTAGTCATTGGTGCCTATCTTTCAAATGTTATATATTCCTGACATTACAAGTCCTGATCAAACAGCTTCCTCCAAAGGTTTCTATTTGTCCTCGTCCTTTCAGTTCCTTTCTGGATCATATTGATCTGCCAGGTGCTTTAAAGCAGAACTGACACAAATAAATTTGTATTCAACAACTGATTCATACGTTGAAATTAAGTGAATGTACTACTTGGTAAAATCAAAAAGGAACACCAAAATTACTAGCACAAATAATTCAATATTTGTGTTCCTTAATTAAGAAACATGATTTAATCCCTACCTTGAACAGAGTTATATTAAAAAATATCACTATTTTTAATATGGACGGACTCAATAAAAGGGAGTGATATATCCTAATTATATCAAAAGAGATAGGTAATTTAATTCATTTCTTGATTTTATGTACCTTATATGTATGTAAAATAGATGTTAAATTTCTCTTTGATTTTAATATTTTCATGTTTTGGAAGGTTAACATAATGAGGTAACGAATGGTCATGGATACTCTTCTAATCAGCGTTGCTTTTGAGGTGGTAGTGCATGGCCTACACTTACTTTTGTTGTCTGTTCTGAAATCTGAAATTATATCCCTGTGATGTGAGAAAGTGAGGACTTTAAAATTATGGAATATATGTTTGAATATGGATTTGGCGTAAAAATTAAGGAATTGATTATCTTCTGTTTCCTGTGCCTTTTGAAATTATATACGCCACTTTGTATAGTAGAAGTTTTGTAGGGGGGAAAATGTGGCTCCATTATGACCTTCTGGATGAAACAAAATGAAGGACAAATTTTGTAATTCAGTAACTCCTTTTTTTTCTTTTAAGATAGGGTAAGATAGAACAGAGTTAATATTCATATTTCTCATAAGTACCATATTAACTTCCAGATAATTGTTCTGTCAAAAAGTAAAACAAGATCCTTTTCCAATTTTCTCTGTAATAGCAGAGAAACTAACTACTATAAATTTAAGACAAAACATATGGTTGTCCTTTTTTGTACTAATTCGGCAAATATGTTAATATTTTTTCTTCCTTTGGCACTCTATTATCTTTTGAATAACATAGCTACTTCTGGCAAATTTTAGTTTTAGCAAATGAAAGAGGATCTGTTTTTGTACTTTTTACCCCTAACAAGTAACAACTAGTTTTTCAATCATTTTTTGTGTAATATTTTATGAGTTAATTACTTATATATTATCAATATAAAATTTTTTATACGGGAAGTCAATCAGAACTATTAATAATATTTTTATTTTAATTTAATTAAATAAGCAGATGAAAAAATACTATTAATAGTGTAAAAAAATTTTACACCGACAGTATATAAGTGATTAACTTATATTTTATACGTGCCATTGTGTATGTGGCCAGCTTAACAGAACTGTTGGCCCAAAGTAGAAGCCCATGATAAAGCTTGAGGCCCGTAACCCTGTTTGTCGTCTTCAATTATTTCCAACGTTAGGAAAAGAGAAATCTAACCCTAACCCTAACCCTAACAGAGATGATCCTCCTCCGCAGAATTGCGGTTGCGAGCAGTAGCAGGTCATACTACACGAGCAGGAGCAAGAAACCAAACCTCTATTCCAAAATCAGCCCCCTCGGAAGCCCCACAGCCAGCGTCGT